AATGTGCTGCTCTAGACTGAACTATTCCAAGTACAGTGCCTGTGCAACACCTAGGAGCTTGCTAGAAATGCAGAGCCTCAGGACCAACCACATCTGAATACAGCAAAACTCAGTGAATCAGAAACACTTAGGATGGGGCTGGCACACAGTAAGAACTACATAGATGGTACCGCTATTATTACTAAAGTCCACTACATGCTCCTCTAACCTACTCTTATTTGCTTACATTAGTTCCATTTACAAACCCTACAGCTAGCTCCCAATGTCTCTTATAGGTCACCATATGGTCTACAGCATGTAGACATGTCTCTTATAGGACACCATATGGTCTACAGCACATGTACACATGTGAATAAATACTAGTTTATCCACATTCTCTCTCCAAATCAGTAAGCTTTTTTTTTTCCCCCCACTGTAGGTTCCCCACCCAACATAGGGTTTGAACTTGTGACCCTGAGATCAAGAGTCATGTGCTTTACCTACCAACTGAACCAGCCAGGCACCCCAATAAGCTTCCTTTTAGGGGTGCCTGGGTGGCTCAGTCATTAAGCATCTGCCTTCGGCTGAGATCCTGATCCCAGGGTCCAGGGATAGAGCCCCACATAGGGCTCCCTGCTCAGCAGGAAGCCTGCTTCTCCCTCTCCCACTCCCTCTGCTTCCGTTCCCTCTCTTGCTGTGTCTCTCTCTGTCAAATAAATAAATAAAATCTTTTTTAAAAAGCTTCCTTTTAGAATCCAAAGATGATGTTTCTTCTAGCATCTTAAAGTTCCTAACGTTTTGCTACCCTATAAGCTCATAGGAACTACTAGCAGAGGTTCATGTGCCAACTGCAGACTTTTTCAGTTCCTCTTCCACACAAGCTCCCCTCTCCCATGATCTTCCTCCTGCCCCGTGATCCTTCCATAACTGGGAATGATCTGAACTCTCAAAAGCCCTATGATAGGTATTTCTGGCAACTGGCAGAGAACTACAAAATACATTAACCTTTTCAAACTGAGGCGTGAAATATTCAAGTGGCATCAATCTATTTTAAGGACTGGGCATATTTGATAAAGCTTCTGAAAAGGCTGGCTCCTTCTCCTGCTTCAAATCCCAGCAAAATGTCACTTAGGAGACTCCTTCCCTGACCCTTTATCCCAAGTTAATCCCCACCCATACTTTCTATCACACCCCTCATTCCTCCCTCTGACTTTGAAGCACAGCTGGACATATAATAGAGAATCACATTTTACTGACTGGATGAACTGAAACCGCTATACTTGCCGAATTTAATAACACTTAAAAACGAAATATGCTTTACTCTGTCAGGAGAAACAAAGTCAATGTTAAAAAAAAAAAAAAAAAAAAAAACCGGGGCGCCTGGGTGGCTCAGTGGGTTGAGCCTCTACCTTTGGCTCAGGTGATGATCTCAGGGTCCTGGGATCGAGCCCCACATCAGGCTCTCTGTTCAGCGGGGGGGCCTGCTTCTCTCTCTCCCACTCTTCCTGTTTGTATTCCCTCTCTTGCTGTGTCTCTCTCTGTCAAATAAATTAATAAAATCTTAAAAAAAAACCCCAAAACCAACTTGCTTTCTACTTTATCCAATTTCTTCACATTCCCCTCTCCGTAAGTTTAGCAAAAGCCCCGCTTGGTCCTGGCACTGTAGTAAGTACTTCCCATACTTCCACTATTTGTTGATTAAAACAATCTAGGAGGTAGGCACTACGACCACAGCATCTTTGTTCCCGTTGAGGAGACTGAGACGTGGAGACCTGATCAAGAGTCAGGCTCTCACAACCAGCAAGCGAGGCTGGGAATCCCGCAGTTCTCATCCTGAGTGGGGTCCCCAACCACGGCACCAGTAGGCATCTTTCCTAATTTGTGTTAATCTCACTGGCCTGGCATCTTCATGCTTTCTTCCACATAATGTAGCACTTCTGATCTTCCTCAGGGATGAAGAGCTTCAAAGCTAACCCAGAAACTTAAAAGGGGGGGGTGGGGGGAGGAGGGGAATCCTTTGCGCAAACACTCTTCAATTTCCAAGCAGATCATGCTCTTTCGAATTCTCATCCAGACAATATCCAACGAGCATTCCTTTCAAGTACACGTTTCAGAAAAGGAGGAACTGCTGAGAAGAATAATGTTAATGAGTTTATATTCCAAATAACCCTGAATAAATTACTGAGCTTCAGTAAACATTAGCAAACACTCAGACACAAAAGCAGTGACCTGTCAGGAACCTGCAGAGATTCAGAGTACTAGTCTGGCTGACTCATCTCCATGTTCAAAACGTTCCTCCACCTGAAGATCAAGGGGGCCTTAGATCATTCACAAGAATCAAGTTTCTCTGAAGAGGACAGGGCACTGAATGGTCTTTCTGAAGGAAGTGGACAAGTGAGCCCAACGATGGCACCTCGCTGGTTTCAAAACTGGTTGATCCCTCATGGCCAATGTGTTGGTCATGTTGAACTTACACTTCTTGGGCTCATGCTGGACTGTGAGAATATGGTACTGACCAAAACACCCAAATAGAGCAAAAGTGGATGTACCTCTGCACTCAGAGGTGAGCAATCTGAAAGAGCCACATGAAAGAACAGCCATGTGTTCATGGGAAGAGGCAATAAGATGACCGGGTCTGGAGAGAAGCTAGGAAAACTGGAGCAGAGCAAAGATCATACAAGTCAGGCAGAACAGCAGGAAAGCTGACTCGAAAGCTGGGCTTCCTGTCTCTGTTTTGTTATAAACAGCTTTACTCATTGGAGGAAAAGGACAGCGGAAGCTGCTCTAGTTAATATTTCTTCTCACTGTTGCCCTAGGCTAGGAATATTATGTATCTTTGTCATCATAACCTTGTCTGTCAGGCTAAGTCACCAACTACCTTTCCCTCAGTTATCTAAGTGTATTTCATTCATTTCTTCCTGTGTTAGCAGCTGGGACTGCAATGGGGAAAAAGATCCCTGCCTTGCCCTTGAGTTGTTGATACCATGCAGAGCACGGAGGAAGGCTGAGGACTCCTCAAGGTTCAGACTGAACATTATGGGTAAAGCCCACCTGGAGAAGGTGGGAGGGAGACCTCCCAGCTCAACTGTCTCTAAATGCGTGCTCTGGGTCCGTGGCCGGGAGCCATCTTCGCACTTTCAGAATGTGCAGATGCTTGATAAAAACAAAAATTACAGAACCTATTATCAGTTTAGAGAAAAGAACTATTTAATTAAGAGAGAAGAGTTGGTAAGAGCTTTTTCTCTTATGGGGTATCCCCATCCTTGAAAACAAAGTCTGTTACCAAAATAGGAGCCAAATACACTGCTTCTTTATGCTAACTTTAAAAAGCCTGTTTGAAACACACAACTTGGGATTTAGCAGAATTCTGTGCTCTATCCCAGGAGTGGCAAAAAAAATTTTTCTTAAATAAAAGGGCAGATAGCAAACATTTCCTTTACGGGCCATACAGTCTCTATCCCAGCCACTTGATTCTGCCTTTGTAGCAAAATGGAGCCGTAGACAATATTAAACAAATAGGTGTGGCTGTGCTCCAAAAAACTTTATTCACTAAACAGGTTGCTGGTCTGGAAGTGTTGTTCTAGCCCCATGAAATGGCATACCTTAGAACATCAAGAAAAGCTCAATTTCCTGGGGTGCCTGGCTGGTTCAGTCAGTAGAGCATGTGACTCTTGATCTCAGAGTTGTGAGTTCAAGCCCTATACTGGGCATGGAGCTTACTTAAAAAAAAAAAAAATTGGAAAAGAAAAGAAAAGAAAATCTCAATTTCCTAAGATCTTTCTTTTCTGTGTTTCCTTATCACTGAAGAGCAGATCCTAGTAGTGGTAACATGTTCCCACATAAAATGGTTCCCGAAGGGCAGACAGGGCTGATGAGTATTACCCTAGGCTATGGATGCTCTAAAGGGACAACGAAAGGCCTGGCTTCCTAATTCAGGGTCAGAAACACATAGAATGAAAAATTCATACTCTACCCTAGCTTTCTGATTTCTCAGAGTTGCAGGGGTTACAAGTCGTCTTCCTGGCCAAATCTTCCATCCTGCAGTGTCTCAGGGCCTCACCCTGGGGATGTTCTGTGGCTTCAACTTCCCTCATCTAGACAAGCCTCCTACAAACTACCATTCTTCCTGCACATACCTTCACCTTCTCCTCACATATAATTCACAATGCACCAAGAGCTCTGGTGCCAAAAGCAAATCAATATTAATAATAGGCAATTTTTTACTGAAATAAAACCATTGTTCACAGTCCCAAAAGAGATATTTGCAAAAGACATTCTGTCAAATGAACTGCAACTTTTGAATGCATCTGATGTGCAAGGCCATTTAAGAGCATGCTATTTGACCCACCACATTTGACCTCGTTCAGGAAGTTGTACAGTGTGGTTACCACACAGTTAGCACGGAGGAGCAATGGTAACTGTTAGAACTGCAAGAAGAAAGTGTATTTGGCCTCAACGTTGTATTGTTATGAATGGGATAAAGGCGCTTAATGGGATTCTACGTGGATCACCCGATGGTGTAAAGAACAGAGCTCCAGACTGGGCAGAGAGAGAAGGCAAATCATTTCAAGGGATAAGAACAGAGGAAACAGTATCCACTGGAGTATTTTCTTAGGAATAAAGAGAGTGGAGTTTAAGTTGAATATGGCCACCAAATTAAGTTCACATAGTTAACTTTTCCTGAGTTACCATAATATTTTAATAATAACCCAACTTTTTTCCTCCTCTCTCTCTGCCTGTCTCTCTGCCTGCTTGTGATCTCTCTCTGTAAAAATAAATAAATAAAATCTTTAAAAAAAAAAATAATAATAACCCAACTTTTAGAAATACATGTAGCATCCAGGAGGGTTTAGTAAAGCTTAACTCTTACAACTCCTCAAATCCTCCAGGGAAAAAAGATATACTAGAATATACAACAGAACTTGTAGCTGTGTAAATGATCCTTAAAATCTTGTAAAGGAGACTCACAGTCAGTTTTAACCAGTTAGGATAATTTCTAAATTAAAATGAGATGAACTTACCTACAGAATTTCAGATGAGACTGAAGCACTAGAAGAAGTTTTTCTGCTGTTTTCTATATTCCATGCTTAATTAAAAGATTTGCTGTGAACTACTGAGCAAAAGAACAGAAAAAGAATACATCTAAGTCATAACTCAACACCATCGAGCAATATGACATCTAAAATCAATGTTCTATACCTAGCAAGCTGCTACAGGGCAAAGTATCATACATCAGCATTCTCTTCATTTTTGGAAAAGCTTTGGTCCTCTCTTCTTCCTTCTTGCTCTCAAATCACCTCATGCATCCACTCTGGAATTATAATTTGGCCACTGTTTTGGTAACAGGCTTTATTTTCATGGCTAGAATTACCCAATGACCATTCATTCGAATGAACCTTCTAGTCTAGAAGAAAAAAATGTTTTAGACTCTTATCTCTTAATAAATAGCTCCCTTCTTTAGACTGATACAAGTTCAGATGCGCTTTTATCAGGCATCAACACATTCTGAGAGCACAAAATCAGCTCCCTCCATCCCTCTAAGACACCTGGGGAAAGCTAAAACACAAACTTATTCTCAGCTGAAGAATGCAAACTCAAATCTTCCTTTCTTCTGACAACAGAAAAAAAGATACAGTATGGTAATCTGTTCCTTGGTACCAGCTTTTCCTGACAAAGCAGCCCGTCCTAAACACTGGTACTATGTGCAAATTACAGAGGATAAAAAACCCATCTCTGCTTGCAACTCTCCCTCCTAGTCCAACAGGGAGGAGTGGAAGAGAAGGAAATACGGAATGCAAGGCGTTGCTTACTACTGGCATCATTCCTTATTGCTTGGAAAAGTGAGGCTCCCTTGCACCTTTCAGATTTCTTTTAAAATGCCTGTATGCGTTAAGATCGCCTCTGGATAGCCCTGGCTCCTTGGGGTTTCCTTTTTTTTCTCTGCCCAATCCGCCCATTCTCCTCCTTGGGTCCATATTCCTTACAACCCCTCCCGATGAAGACGAACCCTCCCACAATCCTACTCCCAGGCCCTTCCCCAACGCCTTGGGAATGCGTTCGCCCCGGGCCTGCTGGGAAATCCACCCAAACTGAGACACCGTCCCCTTCCTCTCCCCCGCAGCCCCGGCCAACGCGCCCAGGGCTGCTCCCTGAGTTTGTCGCCGGAGCGGCCTAGGGCGACGGGGATCCGGGGGGCTGCGCCCTAAGGCACAGCCGGCAGGACAGTGTGTTCTTGCAGCCGCGGCCAGGGCCCGCCACGCGTTCCTGCGCCCTCAATGTCGCCAGGGCCCCGCCGGGCTCCCTCTTCCCGGCTCACCGGGATCTGGCAGCTGTTCGTCGCAGAGGCCGGAGCCCCCGGGCGCGGCTGCTCCGGCGCCACCCCAGAGGCGCTCTGGGAAAAGGCCGGAGTGGGCGGCACCTCCCTGACCGCTCCCTGGCTTCGCCGCCCCGCAGTGCCGTCCGCGAGAAGCGAGTCCCAGGACCAAGCCCGCCACCCAGCCTGGAGTCTCCAAGGCTTTCGGATCGCCCCCAGCGACCCTGCCTCACACTCACCTCCCGCGCACCGCACAAAGCCTGCTCCGACACCCGCTGGCGGGCGGCCGACGCTGCCGCCCCGCGCGCACACGCAGCCTCCCGCAGCCGCACGCACGGCCGGGCGCGCGCAGACCACGCGCGGAGGCCCGGAGCCCCTTGCTCGCTCGCACGCAGGCGCGGGCACCGAGCCCCGGCGAGCGCTGCCCTGCTCCGCCCGCAGCCGTGCGCACTCTCCTGGGCGCGCCCTGTTGCTCCTCGCCATCACCTTGCGTTCCGAGGACGGAAGGCGTTTTCCATTTGCAGCGGGCCGAGGTTGGGCAACTTCGTGACGGGCCTCCGGCAAGGATTTTGCCTTGTTTACTAGCGGCGTAAGTGCTCGGCCTCGAGGCAGTCCTGGAGGGATTTACTTGTTAGAGTGTGCAAGAGCTGCTAAGGACGAAGAAATTTCGGGAAGTTCCTTATCTCAGAAAAAATGTGCGTTCTTCTTAGAATCGATGGAGAGTGAAGGAGGGGGTGGAAACGTCAGGTTACAATGGTTTGGTGTAAGAACAGGAGTCCCAGGAAGTTGCTTGCTTTCAGGAATTCATCTCGAAGCTCCTCTTTGGTCTGGAGAATTCAGAGAGAGTCTGTCCTACTCACAGTCGTCACTAACTGGAAGAAGCGGTGAGGCTTTTAGGCGTGCGAGCTGGGTGTTGCTGTATGGGTTCTTCTGGTCGTGCAGGTCTTTGGGTGGAGGTGGTTGAATTAATCCAGAAACAATGTTTCCTCTTCTCTCTGCACCGCTGGCATAGTGCCATATGAAAACAGTTCCCCATTGAGGCCGCTTGGCTTTGGGACTGTCAACAGCTTGGTTCCAGCATCACCACGTGGAAAGTTGGAAGAATAGTTCAGGGAGCACCCAAGTACTTAACTCCAGGGTTGAATAAGTGTTAACATTTGCCGTAATTGCTTTTCATGTCTCCTAAATATTTCAGCCTGCGTTTCCTAAGAATAAAGACAGACATCCTTCTGTGCAACCACATAAGAAAATCCCATCTAAAAAATCTCTTTAAAAAAAAAAAGAAAATCGCATCTAAGAAACTTAGTAATGTGATAATTTAACCTGATATCTAGCCCATACGCAAATTTCTCTGATTGTCAAAAGATGTTTTATATATTGGTTTTGTGGAAGGATAGTCCAGTGAAGATTCCTGCATTGCATTTGTTATGCTCCTCTCTTTTAATGCAAAACAATCTCCCCCAGCATTTTTGTTTTCATGGCAATAACTTTTTGGAGAGTCTAGGACAGTTATGGGCAGAGGTTTCAGCTCTCTCCATTTGTTTGACCTTTTATTCCTCCTGATATCATTCAACCTCTTCTCTAGCTTCCCCATTTACTGTAAAGTAGAAGAAAGATCAAGAGGTTCGGCTAGATGTCAAGAATCTTTCAGACTTTAAGAGGTGCTCTTCATATTGTTTCCCATCCAGAAGAATATAGTATTAAATATTAAACACATAATATTAACCTTTAAATATATAATATTAGGTTGCCCCATTATTAATAACTGAAATGTGAATTGTCCTCCGGATTTCTCCATATAGTCCATTATAAAATCTATTTTCCCTTTTGTGGTTAATAGATAATCTAGACAATGGAGACTTTGGAATTCCTTGTAAGAGAATATCTTAGATTCCTGTGAGGAGAACACAGGTTAAAAATCCATTTACCTGGGTGGGTAGGGTAATCATCTGGTTCATTCTGGTACCTCCTACTGCAGGTCACCTTGTAATAGATGCTTCAGTGAATTAAATTCTAGCTTTATTCAAAGAACAGCAAAACTCTGGTCTCTTCAGAGTTTGGGCCACTTTAGAGTTCTTGTGGTTAATTCTGTAAAAGCAGTGGGGTTTTCTACAAGTCTTGTGATGCATGTTTTAAGATGATTTTGTAAGATCCAGGAGCGTTCTATGTTTACCTGGGCATACCTGATGTATACTACCAGCTCTGTTCTAATAGCAGAAACTAATCAGGAGTATGTAATGCTGTGTGTTACCTCTGCCTGTGGTCTTCTGGTCTCTGGCTCATATAAATATCTATGGATGTGAGCTCATCTGTTTTAAGCTTATAAGCTGTGCTGGGCAAGAGTTATGCCAAGTTTACTCTATATAACAATGGCCGCCTCAGCTTCCACAAGAGAACTCTCAAAGGGCATCATCTAAGTGCACAAATCGAGAGTTCTAAACAGCCCATATCCCCACTTCTCAAAAGAGGACAATTTTTAGTAAGCTGGTCTGAGTCACTGGGTTGTATCAGTGAATTTTCATTTGCATCGGCTAATTATCGTCTGCTCTTGCCCCTAACAGTTGATCTGAATTTCATCAGAGTCTGCATACTGAAAGCCCTAGGACCAGAAGCTGCTAAGCAGAAGTGAGCCTTGTAAGTGATGTAGCATCATTTTTGTCACATTCTATTGGTCAAAAGCAAGTGTCCGACTATTCAGGATTCAAATGGAGGAGATCAGACAAGGGCATGATCACCAGGAGATGAGGCCCACTGTGGGAGAGGAGGGAAATATTTGGAAGGGAGCTACCACACTGCTCTATGCCAAATGCAAATTTAGATGTGTACTATTGATCATATTAGTCCTTTGTTCAAAATCTAGTGGGTCTGGGTCATCTATTGACTTCGAGCCTAGTCATAACTGCCCATCCCTAATTGTGACCCACACATTTGCATCGGCTGTAAATAAGGCCCACCATTTCTTTTTGTTTACAGATTCCTTGGTTCACCTGCTACTGCTTCCTTATCATACTGCTGCTTCCCTTTGTCTGCAAAAGGGAAAGGATAGAGGAGTGAAACATGCACTTAAAAATTATTTGTAATAATTTGAAGGTTCTTTGAAAATAATATAGGTGAATATAGGAGTTAAAATTGGTGTACAGGGGCGCCTGGGTGGCTTAGTGGGTTAAAGCCTCTGCCTTCAGCTCAGGTCATGATTTCAGGGTCCTAGGATGGAGCCCCCACATCGGGCTCTCTGCTCAGCAGAGAGCCTGCTTCCCCCGCCCTGCCTGCCTCTCTACTTGTAATCGCTGTCTGTCAAATAAATAAATAAAATCTTAAAAAAATAATAAATAAGTAAATAAATAAAATGGGTGTACAACGAAACTACATTTAGATAGTAGTAGTGGAAATTCAGGTTAAATGAATATTCAGATCTAAATCATTGTTGTGATTCTTTTCCTGATTACGGCCCTGGCGGGTGGCTGTGCCCTTTGCAAAGGGTAAAGTGATTACTGCTAGCTAATCCTTTGTCACAGCCATTCTTCATCCCACCTTGGCTAACGGTTTACCTCACTAAGTAAAGGAAGTCCTTTGATAACAGAAGTAGGCAGGCTCCATTGCAGATAGGTTAATCTAGGGGAGGAAAAGACCTCTGTATCTGGAAGGATGCTGTAGGACATTGATAATATATCTTACTAATTTTGTGTTTTTATTTTAGAAAAGTTACAGTTTAATATGTGTTTTTTTTTTAATCTTTTTAAGTAATCTCTACACCCAATGAGGGGCTTGAACTCATAACCCCTAGATCAAGAGTCACAGGCTCTGCTCACTGGGCCAGCCAGGAGCCCTCCAATGCTTGTTTTAAAAATGTTTTGAATGTCCCATGAATAACTAGTATGTATGTGTGCTTGTAGCTGCCAGAATCCTCCTAGAATGCGAAACAGAGCCGTGGACAGCCAGATTGGGATAAGAAATCCACCTAAATTAAACAAGTGAGAAGAAAAGGTCCAAAACCTTTAAGAGATTATTTCCTTTGAGGCAGTTTCTTTGTTCATTGTGTAGCATTTAGCAGCTTGTGATTCAGTTATCCACTGCAATAGAATGAACTTTCCCACATATTAAAAATACATGTTTGAGGGGCGCCTGGATGGCTCAGTGGGTTGAAGCCTCTGCCTTCGGCTCAGGTCATGATCCCAGGGTCCTGGGATTGAGCCCCGCATTGGGCTCTCTGCTCAGCAGGGAGCCTGCTTCCCTTCCTCTCTTTCTCTCTCTCTCTCTGCCTGCCTGTCTGCTACTTGTGATCTGTGTCTGTCAAATAAATAATAAAATCTTTAAAAAAAAAAATACACGTTTGATATTTCTCATGATTCTGAGAGTTGGTTGGTTGGTTCCTTTGTGGTTTTGTTTGGGTTTACATAGTTAGGTTCAGCTGTAGCAGGGATCAGCAAAATTTTCTATAAAGGGCCGGATAATGCATGTTTTAGGCTTTGTGTTACCTATTATTCTATTACCTATTTATTTCATTTTTTTATAAACCTTTGAAAAGCAAAAGCTGTTCTTAGCTCAAGGGCCCAACATAAAACAGGCTGAGGGCCAGATTTGCCCCATTGTTTTCCAAATGCTGACCTGGAGAGTCAGCTGAGCTGAAGGTCCGAAGTAGTCTCACATGTCTGGCCGTCGGTGATGCTATCCACAGAGGGCCACAAATCTTCTCCTGAAGGAAGAAGGAGTTCTCCTTCTTCCAGGAGGATTCTCTCGTAGGAGGATGTGGCCTGTCATCCTTCACAGGCTACATTGTCCGTGTGTGGGCAGCATCTATGCACGTGGAGGGTGTCAGACTTGTTAAAGCATAGCCTGGGGAATCAACAAGGTCACCTATGTCACATTCTGTGGATCAGAGGAAATCCAGAGGCCACCATGCATTCAAGGGCTCGGCAAATAGTCTCTCACTCTCTATGGGAGTTGCTGCAGATATTGTGGCCGCAGCTAGCTGAACTAAATGGCAGATTTCCACTGTGTGCCCCACCAAGGAAGATCAAGGGCGGATGATGACCTTGACATTAGCCTGGCTCTGAGAGCCTTATTCGGATCGTTTCAGATTGAGTCATAAAACTTCAAATTTATGATCTCTGATGGGAGCTTATTGTCTTCCTCTATCCTTTACTCCTGCCTTTCCCTTAAGCTAGCAGGAAGGTTGAGAGATTTGATTAGATGGAAAGAATCCCTCACACTTGATGATGCCATTATACTTACCATCCTGTTTCTGATTCTGTGCGCACTGACTCACTTTCCTCAGTACATGTTTAGAAGTGCCCCTGCCTTGAGATTATCCACTGCCTGGGAGAAGTGATTATACCCTCCCACCTGCCCACTATGATCTATCTTCCACAGATACGTATTGAATTTAACTGAATAGTTTTATGAAGCTTAAAGTCTGATTATTTGCTTACTTCACAAAAGAAGAACAAATTTAAGAATCCCAGTACTACCTATACGTTCTAGAAGAATAGCATGCATCAAAGAATTATATTTCATACCCAGATCCTGTCTAACCAATCAGATGGTTAAACTTCCTAGACGTTTTCCAAACACATAGTCAAGAGTTAGGAAACAGTCTGCTTAATGGTAAGTTTGAGCTAGCAATCGCCTTTAAAGACTTACTACATTTTAACTTTAAATTTGTCTGCAGATGAAAATCGAAATGTAACAATAGTTTGTAATATATGCTGGGTATGTTCCAAGGCAGAAGTGATTCCAGAGAGGGTTTCTAATCTATAGTAAATGCTGGTACTAATTGCTCGGTTGAATTTCTTAATATATGTTTTCTCCCAAATCTCATTGTAACTCTGTCTTCTTCTATTTGATGGAAAGCTTTGACAATTTATTATGTTTAGAAGCACCTGGGGTGGCTTTCTAATTGATGATTTGTCATCTTATATTTCTTACTTGACTATCCACATTTTTCATTCTCTTCAGCATTTTCCTCCAGTGTCTTCTGTCTTACTGAACTAGATGGATGGTGCTGCTTTTGTGCAAAGGCAGGCAGTATTTCAGTCTCTCCTCTGTGTCCTTCCATCAGACTGTGGATACATGCAGGGCTGATACTAAATGACATGTCTTATGACTTGAGCATTAACAAAGTGTATTCACATATACTGTATCAGCTGATTGTTAATGCATCAGTCCCATGCAATGGATGCTATCACTGTCTTCATTTGGCAGGTGAGGAAACCAGTGGACAGATGTCCCAGAATACCTCAAATTTAACATGTCCAAGTCAACCTCATAAAATCTTTTTATTCTCCAGATACCTGATTTGGTTAAAATCAGCCCCATTTATCAGTCACCCAAATTTGACCTTCAATTCTTTCTTTTTCTCCCTTAACTCCACAGGTCCAATCAGTCACCAAGATCCTGTGGATTCTCTCTCTCTCTCTGAGACGACGGCCCTTCTGATCCATCACCTGCTCCCTAAAAAGCTTTATCTCACACCTGGCTTTATGTCCGAGCTCTCTATCCGCTCCCCTGACTTCCGGTCAGGGGAAGTCTGGTCTTTCACATTGAGCAGTCTTCCTCAAACCCAAACCTTTTCAAGCACTCTTGTTTTAAATTGGTCAGCCTGCAGGGCATAATCCAAAGGGCTATAAAGCTCTTCACAATCTCTCTCAGCCTACAAGTTTCTCCTGTTCTGGTTCATACTGTGGGTACATTTTCATGCACTTGTCTTTGCACCCACTGTACCCTCAGAATGTAGTTTCACTCTCTGAATCCCTCCACCCTGGAAATTCATCTACCTACCTCACCCAAGGTCCATGCTTTCTGTAGTAGTATTTCTCAAACTTGAATATGTGTGAGAATCGCCAGGGGTGTGGGTGGGGGGCGTTGGTGTCTTGTTACAAGCAGATTCTGATTCAGTAAGTCCCTGGATGGAGTATGAAATTCTGCACTTTAACAAACTGATTGGTGATAGGATACTGCTAGTGGGTGGGCCACACCACAAGCAGAAGAATCTAGATCTGCAATGTCCAATAGAACTTTCTGTAAAGATAAACATGCTGTCTGTTTTTTAATACTGTGGGCACTAATCACTTGTACCTATTGAACACTTGAAATGTAGTTAATGAGACTGAAGAATTGCATTTTTAAATTTACTTAATTTTAAGTAACCACATGTAGCTAAGTGGCCACCATGTTGAACAGTGCAAATCTATACAAATCCCTTTTCATCCTTCAAAACTCATTTCAAACACGCCTCAACCTTTGGACCAGCTATATAATTTGGGGAGCCCAGTGTGAAATGAAAATGCAGGGACCCTTGTTAAATTATTAAGAAATTCAGGATAGCAACAGCAGAGCATTAAACAAAGCACACTTCTAAGTGCATGAAATCCCATGACCATGAAGACTGCCCTGCAAGACCAGGAGAAAAACTAACAAAAGATATGAAGAGGAAATCTGCATGGTCAATAAGTGTTTGAAAAGATGCACATTTTCATAGGAACCAAGGAAATGCAAATTAAAGCCACAATGAGATATACTTCCATACCCCCAGAAATTTTAAAGTCTAGTAATACCGTGTTGTCAGTATATCATCACTGCTGGTGAAGGTATTGTGTATCACTTCTCTAGCAAGTTGTACCACATCTCTAGCAAGATTGAAGATGTACCTGTCCTGTAAACCAGCAACTGCACTCAGGTGTCTTCCCTGGAGAAACTCTTGCACATGTGACCAAGAAGACATCTGCAAGAATGTTTATGACAGCTGTCTTATACTGAGAGGAATTTGAAACAAACTGAAAATAAACAAATGGGAGGCTGATAAATAAATGCAGTATTTTCTTAAGAAGAATTTTATGTATGGGGCGCCTGGGTGGCTGAGTGGGTTAAGCCTCTGCCTTCAGCTCAGGTCATGATCCCAGGGTCCTGGGATCGAGCCTCGTGTCGGGCTCTCTGCTCCATGGGGAGCCTGCTTCCTCCTTCTCTGCCTACTTGGGATCTCTCTCTCTCTCTCTGTCAAAAAAATAAATAAAATCTTAAAAAAAAAAAAAAAGAATTTTATGTAACAGTAAAAATGGATGGATTAGAACTATATTTCTGTTCTTGGATAGATTTCAAGAATATAATATTGAACAAAGAAAGCAAGTTCTAGAAAGGTGCTATTTATGAATATATTTTATAGATGTGAAAGCCATAGCTATATATTGTTTGTCAA